TTTTGAATAAATTCACATTTAATGGCTTATTCACTTTTAATGCTACTTCAGTCATTTCTATCAAGTAACTGTTACATAATTCTTTTCTTTGTCCTGCTATTCTCACAATCTTTTATAATATTTTGCACTTTGATAATTCACAATATAAATGACTAAATACCCTATATATATGCCGACGATTACACCCTAGCCAGACTAAATCCAAATGTTTCACAACATCTCAAAATTCTTGGGGTGGATGAAGATATAAATATGATAACATGTACAACTAGCACATTGCCAGATATAGTGCCATGATTATCATCATCTGTGTGCAAGACAGCAATTAATTACAACCTCTCTAATTTTGAATTCTATTCAACACATTTCAAGTATTCTAGAGCACAAAAGGTACCCTAAGTCAACACTAAGAAACTGAAGTGAACATCTAATTAAATGAAATAATAGCCCAATGAGGTAATATATAGCAACTGAGACTGAAAAAAAAGCCACTAGTGATGAAGCAATGAGATATGGTGTAATTGACAAAAAAAAAAAAACCAGTTTCTGTGATAGAAGTTACCCCAGCTGATAGATTTTATATCGAGTAAAAGCCTCGTGACTGAGAATAAAAAGAAGACTGATATTGTAGACTGAGTTATGGTAAATGTAGCAAGACTCACAGGTATAGGTATTCTTCTGTCATGAAAAGCAACATGAGAGGGAAGGTAGACATCCCTAATGCATGCTCCTTTTGCCTGAAATCATTAAAAAGTAAATTTTCAGGCACGTACCATCTGACAATATATCAAGGCAAATTGGCAGAGAAAATACTAAGCAAACCAATTTTAAAAAAGAACATCATCAAAAGTAAACATCAGCTAGAAACAGCTCAGATAAAAGATCTCAAGCCATTCAGTTACAATTTACAATAAGAGCAAAAAGTTCAGCTGACTGAGGAAATCAGGAACAAATCATATCAAGAAGTGCCATCATAACACGAATTAAGGACATTCGTTAACTTGTACAATTTACTCTCATGAAGTTCCATAGAAAAAAATGTGAGATAAAGTAAAATTAATTATTAGTGATAGTCAAAATTTTAATTATAAAAACTATATGATTCATATTGGAAATAAGGAATGATCAACCACACAGACCTCAATCAGAAGCCAAAAGAAGTGCCACAAAAGTAGAACGTGAAAAGAGAAGATGGTGGAAACATCACAAGAATCTAAGTTTCAAGCTATAAATATCTTTAAATTGCATCAACAGGATACCTCTCAAAAATGGCAATTAAAGGAAGAGCCTATCGGATAGGCAACCAGCAGACTGAGAGGAATTAACAGGGTTCCAAGAGTACAGTTGATATTTCAAAATTCAATAAGTGTTGCCTAGATATTACCGGACAACAGAAACACATTCTAGGAACTATAACATACTTTAAAGCCACCAGCGGTTCCTGCATTGATGATAAGATCTGGTTTCAATGCCTGAATTGAAGCAAACGTCAAAAGAGCTGACGATACTGTGCCAACGCTATCAACACCTGAAAGTACAAAAATCCATAAGGCCAACCAAAGTGAAACAAATAAATGAAAAGCGAGAAGTGATAGCTCTAGCCACATAGTGAAGTGATGGTATGAACATAAAACACTCATCCGGGGAAGAATCCATATGCTTTCTGAAACTTACAATCAGCTTGAAAGTTCCTCAGTTTCAATTCAGTATGAAACGGTTTGGAGGCTTTGACATTGGAAAAGGATCCGATGTCAATGCTCCCATACACCTTGGAAACTATTTACTCCCTTCCACATACAATGCTCAAGTAAAACCAAGAGGTTAATCTAAATCATTTATATTTATATTTGTATATTTTCCGGAGTAATTGTTATATTCAAGTGCAGTTCCATGGTTTACCTTCTTAGATTCAGTTGTAGCAGCCATATCACGAAGATAAGTGAATATATACAAGACATAAAAGATTTTTTTTCAGCTGATTTTTTTGATCAATAATTTGCAAGGAAGTACAGAAAATATACTATTGACACAAGCCTAATACAATGAAATTTTAAGTACAAGAAAAAGAGAAGAAGCTTCATAAAACTGTGCCATTGTTTAGACCCCAAAGCCATGTCACATTTAGACTGGTTCCCATTTATCATCCATTGAAAATTCGTTTGATTAAGTTCTAAACAAATGCTCAGCTTTGGGAACATCAACCCACCTGATATGGAAACAAAATAAACTGGTCAAGATAAGATGTGAATGAGTTACATGGAAGGAAAGAAGGGAACTTCCCATACCCAATATTGTATCTTTCCCTGGCCATACTAGATCAATATGCAGGCCTTTGTAGGTACCATGGTATCTGACCCATGGAACACCTTTAGGAAACCTGTTCAAAAGTGACATTCAATCTTAAACTCTCTTGATTAATACTTTAAAGTTTAAATGCTCAATCAATTATTGAGTGAAAGATAGACTAGTTATAAAACACATTTGCATGAAGTAATAGTAGAAGGGCATTTCAAAATGGAAACATAGTTTTCAAACTCATATTCACAACACGAAGGGGGATAACTAAGAAAATACTAGTTTAATGTGCAAACTAGAGAGTGAAAACGACATAATCCTCTCTAAGTCTTGGAAAATTCCAATGGCTTAGTCATGAAACATCCACTTTATCCTGATACGGCTCATATGTGAATCCCACTTAAGCATCCATTTCTTGTTTGTGCAGGTATTGATGAACATGTCTGATCTATTTCTTGTCATTCATGATGCCATGTTAGCACCATATAGGCACCAAGGCAGTACCATAAGTGACAAGCTTTTGATGATCTATTGCCAATATTTTAGTTGAATAATCATTTATTCATAATTCTACTCTTGATGATCTTTTGGTAGTTATCAACTACGTGACAAGCTTCGGCGGCCACCGGTTAGATTGATCGTTTAAGGCCTTGGTGGCCAAGGCTGAGTCGAGTCACAGAAACAGCCTCACCGTATTTATTTTCAGTCAATTCAATTAGTCGCTCTCCCGAAGTCCCTTTTGGGACGATAAAAAAAAAAGCCTCCTGTTATCTTTTTGAGACGATAAAAATAAAGTCAATCGAAGATCTAATACTCACACGGATCCATCAGCATCCTCAGCGAGACCGAACTTGGCGACCAAAGGGAGTGCCTCCGTCTGCATCGCTGCCGATCGGAACACCAAGAACCAAATCAAGAATCAGCACAAGAAAACCCTAAACCACGAGCGAAGAAAACGAACTAAAAAGAAAGAGAAAGAATCCTAGGGTTTCATCGGGGTACCAATGACGATCAGGATGGTCGAGATGGGTCGGTCTCCGCCAGTCTTCCCCGAGGTCTCCTCTGCGACCGATTCGACCGCCGCGGCCGCCTCTTCCTCTGCCGCCGCCATCGCATCAGGCGCCGCCTCGCCCGCGTTCTCCTCGGGAAGCGCCATCATGAACTCTCCGCTTCTTCTTTCTTCTCTCCTTCCGATTCCAAGGAGAGAGAGAGAGAGAGGCCGAGGGCTTTCTATTAGGACCCTATGTTTCTTGAGGTTTTCCAGCCAGTGCGGAATGGAAATATATATATATATATATACCCCCACACGGCTTAGCGAATGATTAGGTCGGTAATCATCAATGAAGCCAACAAAAGATTTAAAGAAAAGGGTAGAATTTGGGATGGATTACACACAATTTGGAAATAACGACAGATATGTTCGTAGGAAACCTAATTTTATGTACATAATATTCCTTCAAAATAGCTTAATGAGTGGATCATTGAACTAAGCCTAAATTATTGATTGATAAAGGATGTTGACAAGTCAAAAAATATCTTAGAATTTTTCCAATGCCGTGTTCTTTGGTCTTTCTCTGTCGTTTTAGGACAGCATTAGGCGTTTCCGGATTTCTTGATCGACTGTTTTTATTTTATTTGTTTTCTTAAAGCACTTAATTGTATATTTTAACTACTATTTTGTTCCAATTAAATTAAATTATATTATAAAACCCTCCGATTCGTTGACTTCCTCGTTTGATCGTCTAATGTCTCGCTAACTCTGCGTGCGTGCGTGCGTTCGTGTTTGTGTGACCCGTGAAGTAATCTAATCAACGATGCCATTTCCATGTAATCGGGCAATCAAATTGTCGATTATAGATCTTAGATTTCAGATTTAAGCCCAATTATTTATTATTGACGATTGTGATAAATGGGCTTAAAAGTAATGCCTCCTTTATATTTTTTTTTCTTTTTTGACCATTCAAAAACCTCTTATTATTCATAATCTATTTTTTAAAATAAAAAATACTAATATTATATTATTCAAAAATCATCTAGTTTCATTTTTACCTTTTTTTTCCTTTTTTGTTTACACAACCCATCCTGTTGTCTTCAACTCTCTCTACTGTTGGTATATTTTATTGGACAATTTACAAAGATCAAGAACATGATTTTTTTTGGATTAATATAACCAACCTAGAAAATGATATATTTTAAGATATTAGAAAATGTACATAGTATTAAAATATTAAATTTTATTTCTCACATTATTCTCTTCAATCTTCAGTTCCTTATAGCCTTTTTTTAATCATTTTATGTCATCTTTAACGATTAAGAGAAGGATGAAAAGAAAGAAAAAAAATAAAAAATACATAATAAGTAAGGAATAAAAATATTATAAAATTATAAATTGAGGATATATACATTTATTTTTAAAAGAATAGTTTAGAAATATTTAAAGCTCTTATTAACATAAGATTGTAAATTATAAATAATTTTTTTATGTTTTATAAAAGAATGAAAAGAATTTTTATGTTTTATCCAGAAAAACCGTTTGCTTTTGACCGAATGATGTTTTTTTATTGAGAATTTACTTAGAGGTACTTTCTTTTCATAAATGAACAAATATGTTATTGATCTTTCAAATTCATTATATAATTTTATACCAAATCGAATGAGTAAATTAGATGAAACCATACCAAAGTGGTTCAATTCAATCTTCAAATATATATATATATATATATATATATATATATATATATATCCGAATCAATCATCTGTTTTACTCTTATATAAATAAATATGAGATTAAAAAAATGAAATATTTAGCCACGAACAAAGAATATTAAGACCATCACCATCACGTACTTAATGCCAGCATTTTAACCTTAATCACCAATTGCCCACGCATCAACAGCCGTGCCCGTTGGCTTCATCGTCACATCCGTGGCTGCCTGTTGGCGTCGGCCACCACCGCACGCCTACCGCGGCGCGGCATGCGCCGGTGGTGCCTACGGAACTTCAAGTGCCCAGTCTCTCGGAACCTCTTCCCCTCGGACTCCAGAACGTCGCACTCCGGAAGCGGCTCCGGGTACCGAGCCCGGTCGTAGCAGACGGAGTAGCTCATGTACTGCTCTCTGAAAGCGCGCATGGCCCGCCGCTTCTCGGGAGTCATGACATGGAGGCCGGTGGTGGCGAGCTCTGCGTCGGCGGCAGCGCAGCCGTTTTGGGTCGTCGGGACCTGCTGGATCGGGTCCAATCGGCAGCCGAGGAGGGCGAGGTCGGAGAACGAGGAGACGAAGGGGCCGAACTTGTAGTTGACCTTGTACTTGCCGCCGGAGGTGGCCCAGTTGGACGCGTCCCAGATGGTGGCGTAGAGCGACATCGGCTTCGACGGGTAGTCGCCGCCCATGGCATCGGACCGTCGGACCTCCCTGATAGGGGTGTCGTCGATGTAGAAGCTGGAGAAAGAAGGAGAATTATTGCTATGAGGAAGAGAAGAAGGCGGAAATCGGCGGTCCAGAGGCTCACATGATGTTCTCAGCTGTCCAGAGGATGGAATAGCGGTGGAAGTCGGCGGTGGGATCGAAGGGGAGGTAGTATCGCTCCTCGCGGCCGCGGCAGGTGCTCCCGTTGCCGTACACGTTGGTCTGCACCCTCCACTCCTTGCCGCGGATGTTCCCCAGGAACTCGAAGTCGAGCTCGTCGTGGTTCTTCTCGAACACGTCACCGTTGGACGTCTGCGTGGCCACAGAGACAAAGAAGACGTAGACCACATCATATGTCACAGTAAAGCTGCTTACTATTCTCGCTCTGTGATGGCAGTGCACCGGTCAAGTCGAGGTCTTCTCTACAATCTAAGACATCTAATAATGCAATTCAAATGGAAACAGCATCTGAAACCTTATCGATAGCATTATAATCCATTGAAATAACTACAGAAACACGGGAAGCAGAGTAATGGCTTACGTAAAAGGCAACCACGACCCCCGCCGTGTAATCCGATGGCAGCTTGATGGAGGCACTGAATAATCCATGGTAATACATGTCCTTCGATATGAATCCGGATCCTGACAACCCAAAAACCAAAGAAACAAGATCAAATCGAATCCTGCAGTAACTCGAAGTGACGACGGCGACGGTCAGAGGAGGAGGACGAAGCGTTCACCGGAGAAGCGGTTGAGGAGGAGGCTGACGCTCCTCCCGCCGGCGGAGCGCACCAGATTGCCTTCGCCGAAGAGCGGGACGTAACCCTCGTCGAACGCGAGCGTGGTCACGTTGACGGACGCGACAGACGAGGCCAGGGCGAGCACCGCGACGACGACGAAGGAGAATGCTGGCGCTCCTCGATCCATGTCGTACCTTCAAGAGGCAGACGCTGATCCGCTTGCTCTCCTCCCTCGTCTCTCCTTGGGGGGGGCGACAAAAAGGGGGAGAGAACCGAAGAACTCGCTGCAAAGTACTGAGAACGACCAGAGCTTTCTTCTTATAGGAGATCAAAGGCAGAGGAATTGGAATCGAAGGCTGTTCTCGTTGGGTGGTGGTGAAGGGGAGGGAACGTTTGACCGGGTCGCATGCCTTTGGCAATGCCGGATTTGGCCGCTCTCGAATCCTCTCTGCGCCATTAATTACCTTCTATCAGGTGCAATGCAGGATTTGGAGGTGCAAAAGCCTACGGCTATATTTGGATATGGTTTTCTATTTGCCAGTCATGCTTGAAATCTACATCATATCAAACCATTCTATCATGGCAAGAACAGAGCACCAGCAATAAATAAATGATCTTAGGATCATATGAAGAGATCATTATAGAATAGTCTCCTCATAGGTTGTTCTTTGAAAGCATTATATAATTTACACACACACACACACACAAAAAAGGCTATAGCACCTTTAATATTGTTATATATTATTCAATGATATTTGTGGACCGAACAAGATTGATATTTCTAAAAATTAAGGAAAAATAATAGTAATATAAAGATTATACCTTAAAAATAAGACTAAAGGTTCCAAATCTCAAATTATGTATTTAAAAGTGTTAACTAGCTTAACTGATAAACACCTTGATAATTCATCGTTTATTCTTTGAAAGAAAAAAAAAAAAAAAACGCCATCCCTATTTAAAATGAGATCTAAAGGATTATTAACTTTGACACTAAATTTAAGAAATAAATTTGTGTTGTTGAATTATTAAAGAATATATCATGTTCATTCAATCCCTCTTGTCTCTTCAAAGAACAAGACAAACCAAAAACATAAGAATTGTAGATTAATAAAATTTATCATATTTCTTCTTATTTGCCATGAATCTATTTTGAAGCTTGATATGGTATAAAATCATAAATTAGACTGGTATGGATGAAATATAAAGCATTGGATCTTTTTTTTTCTTAATATAAAATACTCTATCATGTTTTTATGATTGAACTGATGATATTGATGGCTTAACTATAAGTTTATTGTAAAAGAAGGGCAATTTTGCTTGCATGCATAAATGGGAACATGAAAGGGTGCCATCCCATTGTTTATATATTTAATTTCATATTCTTTATCTCCCCCATCACCTTTTCTATGTTGGCATTATTTGAGAAAACTCCATAAATAGATATTAAACTCCATTCTACTGTATTGCTAGGTAAGACTACAAGTATCTGAATTAGAATTCACTGTCCAGTAATAGTGTTTGCTAAAGGAATTGTTGGATTTCAAATTTCATCTTCATTTATATTTATAAGCATGTAAATAGCATATATTTCAGGTCAATGCAAATAGATACAAGAAGGCACCAAAGTCAATCTGACTCCATCACCACATCTCTCTACAACTAGTAGCAATCAACAAGCACAAAGGCAGCAGTCAGTGGAGAGGGCAAACTTCCTACAGAATAGCTTCAACTCACATCTCTACTACATATTGCAAGACTTGTAGTTGATAGCATCTTTATCAATCCAAACTAGATCATCCTCATATTTAGACATGCCTAGCACATCTGAGTTCTACCATTGTCTGATAATATAACCAGTCTAAATGCTAGATAGCTATTGAGAATTAATTTATAATAGTTATTTAGGTAGTTATTATTTTCTAGATAGTTATAGGCATGTTCTAATTAGTGGCCCATGATCTAAAAGTTATAGGATAGTTTCTATACCTAACTCAATCATGGGTGACATGGTAGAGTGAGATAGTTAACACTAGGTTCTATAAATATGATCATAGTTTATAAAGGAAGATAGAATGTGTCTACTTGGGAATATCTTGTAAGTGTTCTATGTTTTACCTCTTATTTAAATACTATAATGGTTTTCTTAAAAAGATTCTTTTTAATTGCATCGTAGTATTATGTTTTTATCATTTCCTTACTCTTCAAAACATTTATGCTATCAAAGTTAAATTTGAATCTGAACTAGGTATTATGGTTTTCAATAGCAATTTCATATCTCAAACACCTTATTCTCATATTTTTTGATAAATGCTATGAATTTTGAAGTATCAAGATGAAGACTCTATTCAAGTCTCAAGATCTTTGGGACTCAATAGAGAATAAATATGCAATAGATGATGAAATCAGGTTGAGAGAGAATAAAAAGAACTTAAAAATATTATTCTTCATTCAATAAGTTGTACATAAGATACTCTTCTTAAGAATTGCAATAGCGACAACCTCAAAGCAATCTTGGTTGATACTTTAAAATAAATTTTAAGGCTCATCAAGAGTGATTACGATAAAACTTTAAATTCTTTGTCGTGAGTTTAAAATTTTGTTCATGAAAAGCAATGAATCGGTGCAAGATTTTCTTTCTCGAGTGACTAAAATTGTTAGTCAAATAAAATTTTATGGTGAATATCTTCTTGATCATATAATTATTGTAAAAGTTTTGAGAAGTTTAACTCCGAAATTTGATCATGTTATTATCGTAATTAAGGAGTCAAAAGATTTATTTATATTTTCATTTGATGAACTAATAGGTTCCTTACAAGCACATGAAGCAAGGTTCAACAGGTCACTTGAGAAAAGTGAAAAAAAAATATTTCAGATTAAGGGAGAGTCTTTTACTTCAAAAAAAGATTAAAAATCAATAGGAAGAGGACGTGGCAGAGAAGGATTTTATGGTAGAGGAAATGAAAGAGGAAGAGGAAGAGGAAAAAGAAGATGACACTTTGATGAGCATGATGACAAACACAATCAAATTATGATAAAAAAAATATAATAGTGAAATTCAATGTTACTATTGTAAAAAGTTTGGTTACATAAAAGCATATTGCTGGAAAAGAGAAAAACAAGCAAGCTATATGGAGGAAAATGAAAAATAGTAAGTTGTTTATGACTCATTTACAAGTTAATGATATCTCAAATGATATTTGATTTTTGAATAGTGAATATTCTAATCATATGTCAGGCATAAGATCCATATTTAGAGATATTGATGAAACTCATCAGTTTAAAGTTATATTTGGAGATAACAAATAAATCTAATTGAAAGGGATAGGAACAATTGAGGTAAAGACAAGTCAATAGAAGGTAAAACACCTTGATAATGTTTTCTTTGTTCCTAGTTTATCATATAACTTGTTGAGTGTTGGACAATTGATAAATAATGGATATCCAGTTATATTTAATGATGGTTCATGCACTATTAAAGATAAAAAAAATCTAGTTTGATTACGGTAAATGTTTGCATGATACAAAACAAGATGTTTTCACTTGATGTTTCAAATATTGAAAAGCATGCTCTTATTGTAACTCAAAAGAATGGGTCTAATTTATGATATTTAAAATATGAATATCTTAACATTAACATTTTAAGATTATTAAATTAAAAAAAATATTTTTCAAATTATCCAAAATTAATACGATGTTGGTGAACGATGCATTTATAATAAAAAAATTAAAAAATAATTTCCTGTTGGAAAAGTATGGAGATCATCTACTTGTCTTAAATTAATTCATGCTGACTTATGTGGACCTATGAATACAAAATCATTTAGTGGAAGTTAATATTTTCTATTATTTACTAATGATTATAGTTCCATAAGTTAGATATATTTTCTAGAACTAAAATATGAAACATTTGATAATTTTTAAAAATTCAAGGCAAAGTGATATATGCATAAAAACACTTCAGACAGATAGATATGGTAAATTTTTATCTAATGAGTTTAATTTTTTTAAAGAAAATAATATTCATAGAGAATTGACAGCACCATGTACACAAGAGAAAAATGGTATAGCTGAATGTATGAATCAAACTGTCATTAAAATTGCAAGAAGTTTACTTAAAAGAAATATCTTTCAAATCAGTTTTGGATAGAAGCAGTTGCAACAACGGTTTATTTATTAAATATTTTATCAACAAAGGTTGTTATTAATCAAACACCTTTTAAGGCTTAGTATGATATAAAACCAAATGTAAAACATATAAGAATTTTTGGTTACATTGCTTATGCTTTAGTAAATTCATAAAACCATCACAAACTTGATTAAAAATCTAAAAATTATATCTTAATTGGTTATTCCTTATAATCCAAAGCATATCGATTATATAATCCTATTAGTGGTAAAGTTATTAGTAATAGAAATGTTGTGTTTGATGAAATAACAAATTAGAATTGAGAGAAGGTGGAACACAAATTCAGATTCTAGTAAAACTAAATATTTTACAAAATCAAGTGATAGATCTTGCTCGAACAAATTCATCGTCAATCTCTTATAATAGTAGTTCAAATTTTGATTCCTCATATAAAACCCCTCTAAGAAAATTCAAATTACTAACAAAAATTTATGATTCAACGTTTGCTTTATTTATTTCAGATCCAATGACTTTTGAGAAAGCAATTGAAAAAGAAGAACGACGAAAAGCAATGAAGGAGGAAATAAAATTAATTGAGAAGAATAAATTTTAGAAGCTAATGGATCTACTGAAAGAAAAGAAAGCTATTGGATTAAAATGAGTGTTCAAAACAAAGTTTAATGCAGATGAAAGTATCCAAAAACATAAGGTTTGACTTGTAGCAAAAGGATATTTACAGCAACAAAGTATTAATTCTGATGATACTTTTTCTCTAATTGCTAGATTCAAAATCGTGAGAACTTTCTTGGCTTTAGCTGCTCACTTGAGTTGGCATGTTTATCAATTTGATGTGAAATCTACGTTTTTAAATAGAGATTTACATGAAGAGATTTTTGTTACTCAACCTAAAGTTTGTTTGGTTAAAAGACATGAAGAAAATGTGTATAAGCTAAAGAAAGCTATTTATAAACTTAAACAAGCTCCAAGGGCATAGTACAATAAAATTGATTGATTATTATTTTTATCAAAATGGATTTAAGAGGAGTAATAATGAACATACT